ACCCTAAATCCCAAAACCTTAGCCCTTTTAGGGGTCCCTGTCATGAGGTCATGGAGCCTCAGGCTTGGGGATACTACTCCAGCGGAGGCCTTGGGCTCAGGTTTTCAGGGCTTGGTGTAGGGTTTAGGAGTTCAGGGTTTAGGGTTTAGGGGTTTAAGGTCTAGCGTTTTAGGGTTAAGGATTCTAGGGTTCAGGGGTTTAAGGCTTAGGGTTTAGGGTTTTCAGGATTTCTGCGAGGGTTAGTGCTTTTGAGGTTGGGTCCCTAACCCTAAGCCAGAAGCCCCAAACGATGGGTTGAGGGTTCAGGGATGAAGCCAGCCTGGGATTTCTCAAGATCAGCCCTTACTGGGCCCTTACCGCTGATACTAACTTTGAATATAAGATAGCTTATGTCTTGGGGATACGTCTAGTATGAAAAATCCCGCACGGCATCAGTATACTCGAATACCATAGCCATAGTCCCGGGTGTAGAATTCTTTGGGTCATGCCGGACCTTGACAGGCAAGGCGAAGGGGCACCTTGAGTCGGAAGGGTCGATCACTTTCCTCGTGCCGTGTGAAGCACCGCACGCCCAACCGTACTAAAGTCCCAGTCAAGCCATGGTTTTTGGGACCGATCTTATTAATTGAGTCTTTGGACCCGGAAGTTTTGGCCCTCTATAGACTCCCCATAGTCCTTGTTGGGTACCTTACTATCAATCGGGGGCCGTATCAGAATGACAGCCCCAAAAGGGAAATCGCCATTTGACAACCTCTCCCCATATCCCTGGGTCCTTACGGGCCTGTATGAGAGCACCCAAGTTTTAAGCCAATTCGAGAAGCCCCTTTGCTGCAGGCGATGACGAGATCACTCTCCGCGACAACCACTTGGCCTTCCAGCGCATTACCATGCGCCCGCGTATCCTGGCAACACGGCCGCATCACTTCCAAGCGCGTAGCAGCGGTCAGCAAAGAGGGGTTGGGGTTTGGGGTAACTGCAGGTGTGGGATTTAGGGCTTTTGAGCCATAGTCTAAACTCCTAGTATCCCCCTTAATAACCCCTGTAGCAGTCCCCCTACATAATCATGTATATGGGTGGTTGTCAAAATTATGGTCCCTTTTTGGATCCTTTTTATAGTACGGCACCTAATATTTAGGGTACCCAAAAGGGGACCATAATTTTGACAACCACCCATATAATCTCCTCTAAGGAGTTTAGACTATAGGTCTATGGTTTAGGGTGTGGGTCTTCAGTCATAAAATAGTTGTAGCGGTAGGGATGCGGAAAGAAGCTTCTGAGTTGAAGGGGATTTCGGCGGCTCTTCCAAGGATTGCAGCGGCACTGCTTCAAGAAAGTCCAAGGCCCCCCTAGTAATGTTAATCGGGGGTTTACGGTATATGAGGATGTATGGCAAATTGTAGGTATTTTGGGCCTTCATGGAGGGTAGGTGGCGGGTCGATCATGGAAGCATTTCCAATATCATGGTTCTCTTTGTGTGCAGTTCCCAAAATTGGGGTCCCATTTTGGTACCCCTAAATTTTAGGAGCCGAAATATACTATATGCCCGAAAGGGGCCCATAATTTTGAGAACAACCCTTCTTATTGCCGCATCTTTAAACCGTCATGAGGATCCTTTGCCGCTGCGGGACCCGTGCTTTCACAAGCGTGGCTATGTAACTCCGTATGCTACCCCCTAACTATTACGGCCTAAGTACCCGCCATTGGGAACCGTCTATCCCCAATTTTGGGTACTTGGAGGGTATAGGTCCCACAATCTTGCGGAATTGTACTAGGTCTGGGTCGGGGACCCCAAGTTGTTTCAGATTTCTTCCATCGAAGTCATAAACGCAAAATGCAATATCGTAGCGTCCAGGAGACAGGGCAAATGGCAACCGCCTCACCCAACCTCGCCCCAAATGGTGGTTGAAAGAGAACATGGCCTGCCCAGCTAACTCTAGCTTAAATCCTAGATTAGCCAGGAGGACACCAGCTTCCATCATTGCCACTTGTTTGTAGTCCCTCAAGTTTTGTATCAAAGTTTTGGATGTACCAATTCTGATATTCTTTGGTTAAAATCACCTCCGCCTACTAGTAAGCCAGTCCACCCATCATGGTAGGTATTCTACTTGCAGCTCCATTCTTGTACTTTATTATGGGTATCTACTATCGGGCGGTGGGAGAGGGGGTTTGCCAGGTTTGTTATTAAATGAGGGGGAGGGTAGAAACAGGGGCTTACCCCAAGGATCCAGATCCGAACATTGGGGGCGAAGGTACCTTGAAGACCCCAGTATTTGGGACATTTAACTACTAACCCTAAACTTAAAACTGCGTTAGGGGCTCGGAACGGTACTTGGGGCCTTGAGGGTTAAGATCTTGGCAACTTTCACCATGAAAATCGCTGCTATGTTGCCTCTGCAGGTTTTAGTACATAAAGGGTTTATGGCTAGGGCTTCCTGGATTTGAAAGGTAGGTAGAACAATGGCTTACAGCATTTAGAGATAATCAAAAAGAGGCCAGTATCCTACATACTTTGAGAGGCTTAGGTCAGGGTTTAGTGCAAACAGTGCACTGTCAGATAGTTTGTAATACCATCAGCAAGATCAGAAACAGCACGAGGTGCAGTTGTGAACAGGGCCCGGCTGTAGCGATCATAGGAAATGTGTAACATTCACGCAATATGGTTTAGGGCTTCGGGTCACCCAGATTACGTGGAGGTTGATTGGACTTGGTTGTGGCAAGACCGTCGCGGATCACTTCCTCTAGTAACAGACCCCGCGCCCCCAATAAGCAATGAATACATTCCCTCATATATGATGGGAGGGGCTATCATTAGGGGCAGGGGGGGACTTGAAGTGACGTAAACGGCCATAAGGCTCACAAGTCGTTGCCAGTATTTGGTTGTTGCGTCCTATAAACCTGGCGGTAGACGTTGATTTCCCTAACCCTATAGACTTTACGGCTTTGGGTTTAGCGAACCCCGCTTGTCCAAGTGCCCAAACAAGTACCGAAAATCACTCTGATCCTCGTATTTGCGGCCTGAAAGCCCATTATTTGCATGCTAGGAACTTTTGGGTTGGGTCCTCGTTGAGTGAATGTATGCGGCGCTCTTACGAGTTTCTTTGCCAAGGAGCCCAGCCCCTTTCCATTGAAAAATACACGGTGGCGAAGCCCCAGGGTTTAGGATCTATTTATATTCTAGATGTGAAAGTAAGGCCAGAAATTATTGGGCTGATGGGAAGTGGATCTGTGTCAGCCACGTAGTGCAGCAGCTGCTCAGGTGAACGTGCGCGAGATTGACATGACTACGCCCCTTGGATGCACGAGTTTCCCAAAAGACACAGCCAGCTGATGTAGAGCCTCTACTCCAGACATGGGCTCATTAACCCTAAACCCTAAACCCTAAACCCTATAAAATTGGGATCCATTCTTCCACATTTTAGCAGCGTCCCGCAAGCTTGCAAGTTGGGTTTAGCTTGGGTACTGCCCCCACACAGTAACAGTCTATATTAGGGGTCCTATTAAGGGCTATATGTAAGTGTTATGCAACTTCTAGTGAGGGGGGGCAGTACCCAACCTAAACCCTAAACCTTAAAAGTTAGGCTAGGGATGAGTGGTTTTCAAAGAAATCACGAGAGCATGATTTCATTGTCCAGTCAAGATTCCTCAACATCTCCCAGTTTAGGTATCCAAGGTTTAGGGTTTGGGGCTCAAGTCCTTGACATGCTTGTCAGTTGCCCATAGCGGGGTCTTCCAAAATCAGAAGACCCCACGATCAGCCTTTTGGAGTGAGTGGTTTAGGGTTTAGGAACTTAGGGCTTTTTAGGGTTTAGGGGTTTAGGGTTTAGGGGTTTAGGGGTTTAGGGCTTAGGGGTTAAGGGTTTAGGGTCTAGGGGTTTAGGGCTTAGGGTTTAGCGTTTAGGGATTTCA